TTTACACATATTACCAGATATTTTATGGTTTTTCTTGCTTTTGAAAAAGGATCCTTTTTGTATCATATTTTCTAACTGATTACTGCTGACATGAAGAAAGCTATTTAGTTGTTTTATACTTCTCTTGTATCTATTATCTGAGGCTAACGTGAGATCAAACAACTTCAGTAGCTTTTCAACCTTTCTGTAAATAGAAACTTGTATTACGGTGTAAGTTTATCTTTACTTAATCAACATTTTAAATGTATCTTAAACCTAACAATTTACACATACATCCACACGCAGTTTCTCCATACTCTTGTGCAAGTAAAACTGTCCCATACAAGAGAGATTTCAGGTTGATTCCCCAGCAGGAGTCTGGGCTTTGCTTCTTGCGCTTTCTAGCATCAGAGCAACGGGCCAGCTCAGCACGAAGGGTGAGTCATTATCCAGTTCACCTTCTTAACCATCTGACACTCTGAACAGCTACGATATTCACTCTAATTAGGATCCAGTCAGGATCTTTTCTGCTCATGTATTATAACAGATTCAAGGGGTCCCTGTGCCCAAATACTTCATCAAGGGGAGAGTCTGTCTCTAGGTGGCTTTTTTCTCTCCTGTGTCCATTAAAAAACAAAAAACAAAAAACCAAGAGCCTTCAAGTTCATTCTGCCACAATGGTCTCCTTCAGCTAATTCGACTGTCTAATCTTTATCAGTTCACTGATAATGGTCAAAAGTTTTCTCCTGTACTATGCAGCCATAAAAAAAGATGAGTTCACGTCCTTTGCAGGGACATGGATAAAGCTGGAAACCACCATTCTCAGTAAACTATCAGAAGGACAGAAAACCAAACACTTTTCACTTATAGGTGGGAATTGAACAATGAGAACACTTGGACACAGGGAGGGGAACATCATACACTGGGGCCTGTCGGGAGGTGGGGGGCTGGAAGAGGGATAGCATTAGGAGATATACTAATATAAATGACAAGTTGATGGGTGCAGCAAACCAACATGGCACATGTATACCTATGTAACAAACCTGCACGGTGTGTACATGTACTCTAGAACTTAAAGTATAATAATAATAATAAAAAGTTTTCTCCTAATGGATTAAAAGGTATTCTTTAAACCTGGAGTTTTATAAACAGGTTTTCTATCTTAAAAAGGCCAGGTTGTTTTTCTCCTACATATTTAAACATTTAAAACTGCATTTAAGTGTTTAAATGGCTTTATTTTATTTTATTTCTGAGACAGGGTCTCACTCTGTCACCTGGGCTGGAGTGCAGTGGTGCAATCTCAGCTCACTGCAACCCCTGCCCCCAGGGCTCAAGCGACTCTCCCACTTTAGCCTCCTGAGTATCTGGGGCTACAGGTATGTGCCACCATGCCTATCTAATTTTTTCTATTTTTAGTAGATACAGGGTTTTGCCATGTTGCCCAAACTCCTGAGCTCAGGTGATGCACCTGCCTTGGCCTCCCAAAGTGCTGGGATTACAGGGGTGAGCTACCACACCCAGCCTTCAATGACATTTTAGAGGTCAGCAAAATACTTCTAAAGTCATGTCCTATACAGCTGTTTTTTAAACATGCGCTATGCTCTTAATGTCAATTGTCCTCTGATCTGTGAGGCCATGTGACTCATGCTTGCCGACAGAATGCAGGCAGAAGTGCTGCGTAGGCACACCCTCGCTTTGCTCATACTCACCACCCCGCCCTCAACTTAACCTAGAGGATTCCAGAGCCTGAAGGAGGTGGAACCACAAGAAGGAAGGAGTCTGGTTCCCTAAATGACTGTGGAGCAGAGACTCCATCCTCAATGAACTGTAATGTGAATGAGAAATAAACTCTTACTATGCTAAGCCACTGAAATAAAGTTACTGTTTTAAATGTAGTAAGCCTATCCCTAGATAATACAGAAATGTTAGGTAAAGGCCTTGAGACTGACAATAATTTGGAATAGCTGACCAGGGAAATAAAAAGGGTAATGATAATGACCAAGATCAAACTGATGGAGGGGCTGTGAGAGCCCAGCAAAGACTGGGCCACACAAATCCATACTAACACCAATCCACATGGTTGTATAATAAATTCCATTTGGCTATGTTAAATCACTTTTTAAATCGAATGGTTAAAAGAGCAACAAAATATTTTTAATGAAATATTATACGGGATCCCAAAATACAAACTAGAGAAATACAGAGCAGATGTGGCTGAAGCAAGACTGGAAGACCTAGAACCTCATCTGCTGAGCTCCTAAGACACCTGCAGAACCTGCCTGCAGAGTCCCAGGACTCTAAAGGTCAATGTGAAAACTCATGATTTTATGGTATCATTAAGCTTAAGTTGCTAATGTTAATATTTCTGTTATCAACATTAAACTAAATTATTTAAAAGTATGTTTTTTGTTTCTATTTTCTACTATGAATAAATGCTTATTTCTCACTTACTACAATTCAAGTATTCAAAGCTCTTAATTTCTCTTTCAGATGGCACAGCCTTTGCCCACATGGCTCTAGTTTCTCCATTTGTGTTGTCTGTTACTTTCCCCCATTTTTCTCACTGTATTTTCAACTTTCTTCTGTACTGAAGTATTATTCCTGACTCAATATATATTTAATGCCACCATGTGCTAAGCACTAGGATGCATGATGAACAAGACCAATATGGTTGCAAATTCTCAGGAGAATTAAATTTTCTAAGTGATTGCAATTCTTTTAAACTTATATAACTATTTCCTAATTTCATTACACTACGATGACAATGTGACCTGGGCTACTTCCTCAAGCTCATGAAGGTTTTCACAGTGGTCCAGCATCTACTGATCCTGCCCATGAGGTCATGTTCTCCAGGAATACCTACTATCCATAAACCGGATTGCCAACATCTGCTCTCCTTTTCTGCCCTTCCAGGTGTATTTCCCAATTCCATTCAACAGCTTTGATTAACTGGCTTTTTAGTGCATTTAAACTGTTTTGTTTTGACCTGGGCTTTATTTGTTTTTGATGTAATTTCCTTTCATCTGAACCTATTTTTAAGATCTGTGTAGTAAAATATACTTCAATCTCATTAGGGAGAAAAAGGTATTTCCTCTTTCTCTTCTAAAATTCTCTTGTTTCATAGAAGTGACTTTTTTCCCTGAGCTCATACAACTTTGGTCCATTTCTATCGCTGAACAATTTTTTTGTCAGAGGTACCATGATTTTTCCAATACACGTATCCTTAAATTGGATTTATTGCTCATTACTTATGCTGTCCAGATGACTCAAGACTAGTCCAAAGCAGGCCTACTGTATCTTGTTCACTGGAGAAAGCAGTCAAGCCTGACATAAAAAAAACATATATAAAGGTTTATCTTCAACTTCCCCATCTGGTACCAAAGTGTTAGCAGATGTCACTTTATAAAGATGGAAAGCAAGTTACTTTATAAGAGCTTGTGCATTTATTTCACAACAGACATATTGTTGTGGGAAGTCAGGGACCCTGAACACAGGGATGGGCTGGAGCCACGGCAGAGGAACATAAATTGTGAAGATTTCATGGACATATATCAGTCCCCAAAATTGGTACTTTTATAATTTCTTACGCCTGTCTTTACTGCAATCTCTGAACATAAATTGTGAAGATTTCATTTTAATATGGACATTTATCATTTCCCTAATAATACTCTTATAATTTCTTACGCTTGTCTTACTTTAATCTCTTAATCCTGTTATCTTCATAAGCTGAGGATGTATGTCACCTCAGGACCACTACTGTACAAATTGATTGTAAAACGTGTGTTTGAACAATATGAAATCAGTGCACCTTGAAAAATATCAGAATAACAGTGATTTTAAGGAACAAGGGGAGACAACCATAAGGTCTGACTGCCTGTGGGGTTGGGCAGAATAGAGCCACATTTTCTTCAGACATGCAAGTAGGAGAGATATTGCTAAATTCTTCTCCTGGCAAGGAATATTAAATATTAAGACCCTAGGAAAAGAATTGCATTCCTGGGGAGGTCTATAAATGGCCGCTGTGGGAGTCTCTGTCTTATGTGGTTGAGATAAGGACTGAAATATGCCCTGGTGTCCTGCAGTACCCTCAGGCTTATTAGGGTGAAAAAAATCCCACCCTGGTGAATTTGAGGTCAGACCGGTTCTCTGTTCTCGAACTCTGTTTTCTGTTGTTTAAGATGTTTATCAAGACAATACGTGCACAGCCGAACATAGACCCTCATCAGTAATTCTAATTTTGCCCTTGCCTTGTGATCTTGCTTTGCCCTTTGCCTTGCGATCTTTATTGGCCTCAGAAGCATGTGAACTTTGTTCTCCTTTTTTGCCCTTTGAAGCATGTGATCTTTGTGACCTACTCCCTGTTCGTACACCCCCTCCCCTTTTGAAATCCCTAACAAAAACTTGCTGGTTTTGCAGCTCAGGGGGCATCATGGACCTACCGATATGTGATGTCACCCCCAGCAGCCCAGCTGTAAAATTCCTCTCTTTGTACTCTTTCTCTTTATTTCTCAGACTGGTCGACACTTGGGGAAAATAAAAAGAACCTACATTGAAATATTGGGGGCTAGTTCCCCTGATAACATATAATCAGTTTTGTTACAGGACAAAAAGACTCATTTAGCACCAGGAAGAAAATAAATCCCCTTCGAAGGAACAAATACTAGAAGTTATTTCCACTGAATACTGGTGTTGAATGGAGAACACTGCAAAGAGGTGAAATGCATAGAAGTAAAATGCATCCTTGAGCATCTTCTCTAGGAAACTCAGACTGACCTAGCCCAAGGACCTAAGAACCAAAGGAAGACCCGTTAGGCAGGAAGAAGCAGAACAAGGCTCTTACTGACTTAGACAGTACTATAAAACACTACTTACAAGAGGGAAATTCTAAATTTAGAAAGAAATTTTCAACTAAAATATTTAATAATAGCTTTTCACTGGAACTACTAAATGCAAATATATTTTGTTCTTTAACCACCTTGTTAGAATGGATAAACAGGCCACTGAATCAGTTTTCATCTTACCCTGAAAAATCAGCAGAATATTGTCCATAGTCAAAGATATAGACTCGAGTAACTTGGCACACTGTGAGGTATCCCAGAGCAAACACAAAGCAGTAACTGCAAAACAAAAATAAGCTATATTAATGAAGATAAAAGACTCATTTTGTTAAAGAGTACATTTTAAAGTAATTTATTAGCTAAATGACATGGTTCAGAAATTAAATATTACTAGATCTACTCTACAAACAGCCTTCTTTAATAAATTAGGAAAACTCTTTTCTAGCATCTGCTTCAGTTTACTTGACTATCACCTTCAATGGTAAATTCATTTTATTCATTTCCTTGTGAGAGACACACACACACTAATTTATATATCTGAAAGTCATGATCATGAACATAAATACGTGGTTAGTATGTGTTCCATTTATTCCTCCTTTCTAGGACACAAAAGTTAGCACAAAAATATTTGGCTAAGGTATACATTAAACAAATTCTTAATAGAATTTTGAAAAAAACTTGTCTTCGATAGTCTAAAAGCATACCTTCTTAGTATGAGTCGGGTGGCATTTACACACATTTCATAACTATGAACACTTAGTGATTTCTACAAACTTAAGATGCTTGGAATATAGTTAAAATTAAAAACACAGCATGGGAAAAAGAACTTATATATCAACAGGAGAGAAGAGAAACCCAGAAACAGACTCCAGAATACTTAACATTGAATAGGATGAAGGCTGCAATGCAAATTATCAGGGAATGGATGAGTTGTTATCTAATTGGTTCAAAATCTGGGTGGGGAAAAGAAAGCTATGCCTTCATCTCACACCAAAACAATTCTATGCGGATTAATGAATTACATGTAAAATATACAAGTACAACAAATAGGAACTGTGACTAAATATTCAAATGTTCTGAAATTGGGGAAAGACTTTCTAAACATATATGATATAGAAGAAATCAAGGAGGGAAAAAACCTTTAACTAAAAAAAAAATTTGACCAAATAAAAATCTTTGTCATGTAGGCAGTTCAGGTGGTTTTATGAAAGTTGTTTCAAACTTTTGACAAATAGTTAATTATAATCTTTTGAATTATTCCTGAGCAAAGAACAGGGAAGGAGAGCTTCTTAATCCAAATGTTTAACAAAGTTAATATATTCATGATTGCTATATCTGACAAAAATAGCATATATGGATACCCATACACAAAGCGTTGAGAAATCACATTTAAAATAATTTCTAAAAATTATATGGCTGCACTTTCCAAAGATGCCCAAAACAGTATCTCCCATTTCATACGCTCTTCTGCAGCCTGTGCTGCTCCCTGTCAAGAGGAGTCGTCTACCTCTCTGCCCACTTTGAGTGTGGGCTGGCCTTCTAACTGCACAGACCAGCGGATTACAGAAGCAACATTTTGCTAGTTCCAGGTGCGAACCATAATTAACCTGGCAGTTTCTACTTTTTGCCTTTTAGAATTTGGTTGTCGGGAAGAAGTGTGACTATCCTGAGACCACTACATGTAGAGATTCTGGAGGATGAGAGACCATGCACAGAAAGAGAGAGAGAGAAAGAAAAAGAGAGAAAAGGTGGGATAAAGGAAGGGTTGGGGATTGGGTTGGGTCTAGGCCCTAATCAAGGAACTGATCACACACATCTAGGAGAGAAGGAAGGAAGGAAAGAGGGGTGAAGGAGAGAGGAGCAGGGTGGAGATGGAGAGTGGGGCACCAAGGAGCACCAAGTGGTTAGACATGTGAGTGAGGAAGCTAATTCCACATGGAAAAAAGATGATGCTATCCAGTGGAACCCTTCCTGAACTGCTTACCCACAGTCATAAGCAACCTAATACAGAGTATCACTTTGTTTTAAGCCACTACGTTTTCATGTAATGACATAATCAAAACAGAAACTGATAACTGAAAATGGGGTGCTACTGTAACCAAACACCTTCATGGAATATGTCAGATAAGAAGCCGTTTCTAAGAATCCTAAAGGCATGCCTCTTAGACATTCTCTTATGACAGATTTAAAAAAAGTTTTTAAGAAGCTCAAGGGTGTTGTCACACAGCACCCCGACTCTCAAAGTAGAAAGGAGGCTGTCTAAAAGAGATTTGTGGGTGTAGTTTCTGTCTAATGTAGAGGATTACAATTAGATACACAGGAAGCCCACATAGTTCTCTAGTGGGCTTATAAAAGATTAGACTGAAAAGGAGAGACAGTTCAAAATGAAAAGAGAAGTTTAGGTCCCCAAATTTTACCCATAGGAAGCAGTCTAGCAAAGCTATTCAAATGCAAAACCTGGCCATTTCTTATGAAAAAGGACGACTAGTCCATGGTGTGGAGTCTAGAGCTCAGAGGATGAAGCCAAAAGCCACATAGATGCACTCAAGGGACTGGGTCTGGGCCCTAATCAAGGAACTGATCATACATATCTGTCTGGATTTCACAACCACCGTGGACTAGGGCTGAGAAGCATCTTACAGTCCGATAGTTTTCATTAACAATAGTGTCTCCTACAGCTGTCCTATTGCTGATCATCCCTGGATACTAGGTGTGTGAGGGGCAAAAAGCTTGCCTGTTAGTCCGCTGGCATTCAGATCAAAAAGAACTGTACTTGGGGACCCACCCCAAGAAGCCTCATCCAGGCCTGACTTAGATGACAAGATCAAGAACTTGAGCTTGATGTCCTAATGAGATGAGACTTTGGGGATCCTGGGAGGAAAGTGAGTAAACTTTCATGTAGGATTCATGTGAACTGTGGGGGCCAGAGGACTGGCTGTCTTTCAAGACTGCTGCCATCAATAACATCCCTCCCTGTTGTACATGTCTAACTCTTTACATCAAGAGCTGAAAGAAAATTCTTGCTATAGTTTGGATGATTGCCTCCTCTAAAACTTCATGTAGAAATCTAATCTCTAACGCTGGAGGTGGGGTCTAATGGGAGGTGTCTGGGTCATGGGGGCAGATTCCTCATGTAGATGAATGCCTTCCCTGGGGGATGAGGAGGTGAGTGAGTTCTCACTCTGTTTATTCTCTTGAGAGCTGGTTGTTAAAAAGAGCCTGGCACCTCCCTGCTCTTTCCTCTGCTCTGGCCACATGGTCTCTGCACACACTGGCTCCCCTTCACCTTCTGCCACACGGAGAAGCAGCCTGAGGCCCTCACCAGAGGCAGATGCTCAATGTTGAACTTTCTAATCATCAGAACCATAAGCCAAATAAACTTTTTCTCTTTATAAATTACCCAGTCTCAGGTATTTCTTTATAGAAACACTAAATTAAGACACTTTCCTGTCCCATCCCCCTTGAATCTATGCTAGACTTAATAACTTGTTTTTACCAATAGAATACAGTGCAAATCATAGACAGAATTAAAAATCACATGATATCTCAACAGATGTAGGAAAAGGATTTGGCAAATATCCTGCATGCCTCTATGATTAAAACCCACAGCAAATTGGTATACAAGGGACATACCTTAATGTAATAAAAGCCATCTATGACAAACCCACAGCCAACATAACACCGAATGGGGAAAAGTTGAAAGCATTCTTGCTGAGAACAGGAACAAGACAAGGATGCCCACTCTCAGCACTCCTCTTCAACACAGTACTGGAAGTCCTAGCTAAAGCAATAAGAAAGACAGAAAGACAGAAAGAAAGAGAGAAAGAGAGAGAGAGGAGAAAAGAAAAGAAAAGGGCATCCACATCAGTAAAAAGGAAGTCAATTTACCTTGAAAACCCTAAGGACTCCTCCAGAAAGCTCCTAGAACTTATTGATAAAAGAATTCAGCAAAGTTTTCTGGATACAAGATTAATGTACAGAAATCCATAGCTCTTCCATACACCGAACAGCAACAAAGTGGATAATCAAATCAGTAATTCAACCCCTTTTACAAGAGCTGCAAAAAATTAAATACTAAGGAATACACCTAACCAAGGAGTCAAAAGATCACTACAAGGAAAACTACAAAACACTGCTGAAGAAAATCATAGATGACACAAACAAATGGAAAACACATCCTATGCTCATGGATGGGTAGAATCAGTATTATGGAAATGACCATACTGCCAAAAGCAATTTACAAATTCAATGCAATCCCCATCAAAATACCACCATCATTCTTCACAGAGTTAGAAAAAGCAGTTCTAAAATTCATATGGAACCAAAAAAGAGCCCGCATAGCCCAAGCAAGACTAAGCAAAAAGGACAAATCTGGAAGCATCACACTACCTGATTTCAAACTATACTATAAGGCCATAGTCACAAAAACAGCATGGTACTGGTATAAAAATAGGCACACAGACTAGTGGAACAGAATACAGAACCCATAAATAAACCCAAATACTTAGAGCCAACTAATCTTCAACAAAGCAAACAAAAAAGTAAAATGGGGAAAGGACACCCTTTTCAACAAATGGATAATTGGCTAGCCACATGTAGGAGAATGAAACTGGATCCTCATCTCTCACCTTATACAAAAATCAACTCAAGATGGGTTAAAGACTTAAACCTAAGACCTGAAACTATAAAAATCCTAGAAGATAACATTGGAAAAACCCTTCTAGACTTTGGCTTAGGCAAGGATTTCATGACCAAGAACCCAAAAGCAAATGCAATAAAAACGAAGATAAATAGTTGGGACCTAATTAAACTGGAGAGCTTTTGCATAGCAAAAGGAACAGTCAGCAGAGTAAACAGACAATCCACAGAGTGGGAGAAAATCTTTACAACCTGTACATCTAACAAAGGACTAATATCCAGAATCTACAACAAACTCAAACAGTAAGAAAAAAACAAACAATCCCATCAAAAAGTGGGCTAAGGACATGAATAGACAGTTCTCAAAAGAAGATATACAAATGGCCAACAAACATATGAAAAAATGCTCACATCACTAATGATCAGGGAAATGCAAATCAAAACCACAATGCGATACCACCTCACTCCTGCAAGAATGGTCATAATAAAAAAACTGTAGATAATAGTGTGGATGCAGTGATCAGGGAACACTTCTACACTGCTGGTAGGAATGTAAACTAGTACAGTCACTATGGAAAGCAGTGTGGAGATTCCTTTAAGAATTAAAAGTAGAACTACCATTTGATCCAGCAATCCCACTA